TTTATGTTCAATGAACATCACAGGCGATGTGTTATATGCGTATTATATATGTGCTAACCAGCCTTTAGTTGACATGCGTCCCATCGATGAATATTTACTAATCACCAAACCGGAGTCGTTCAGCTCAGGTGAGTTCTCTACTCCAACTGTAAGTTAGGAGAAAGAGCGAGGCAGATATATCTTCTTCAGGTGTCATGCTCAAAACTTGCTTAAGTTAAATAGGACACAACACAGCCTAAGGCAAACCGACGTCGAGTGGGTTCTTCCTCCGGGGCTCTACCTATGATTCATCTAACTATATGCGAGGTCAAAGCGGAAGGCGACTCCAGGGAGCCTCAATTATTTGCTAAGGGAACTAATCATACGGTAAAAAACACTGAGTCGGAACTTTAGATGCATGTGGTATACATGTGATGTATTAAAAAACAGTTTGTAGAACATTATGATGAAAAACATTATGATATAAAACGGTGTAACACAGGAAACTGGCGAGTGCACCTGGAAGTAGGGAACCTCACATTAAATTCATTCTGTGTATTAGTACAGGCAAATGACCCCTATCGCAGCGGGAAAACTGAGTAAGAACCGATCGTTAGAAAAGCAACCAAGAAAGAGGACTTTCCTTGGGGTGACAACCAGCCGGGCTGAGTAAATCCCATACGAACATTTCCTGGAGTTTCATAAGGTGTGAATTGGTAATTAATATCAATGAGGATAAAACAGCCGCACAGTGCTTCTGGGTTTTTATAGAAGAAAGTCGTAGCTGTCAGTATCTATATAGAGGGGCAATCGCAAGCTTAGCTTTGTATTTATTTTTTATTTATACAACCGATTTCAGCCTATAATGTACTCAACATTCTCCTAAGATCAGCCGATCGGCCACTTTATCTTGAGAATTTGAGAGTGCAGGAAATCACAAAAGCGATTGCAGACAGGCAGGATTGAACGTCGGTGTGCAAAGCGCCACCCCTGCCTGTGCCTCCTTGATTGCAGGGATCCATGTAAGAGTGATTAGTAAGCTGGACAGGAATAAAGATCAGACAACAATAAAGGTCGGAGGTGCCAGCAGTCGCATGTTTTCTATCAGCATCGTTGTGTGCACTGAATAAGTTCACCGTTTGATGTCACCGTGTGACGGCAAATTTGTTAGAAATGTACGTTCGTTTTCATAATTTGTGGTTGCCTGCGAACCAAGATACTGGCAGGATGCTCAATCGAATCCACGGCAACGGCTGCTGCCCTCAGGCAAAAACTAGCTCAAAAGCCTGACCAAAAGGCAATGGTTGTTGGTGAGTGTGGTCAAAGGTTTAGGGAACAAGTTGTCACATTTTTCGGCTCACAGTTTGGAGCAATAGGAGGCCAGACCTGCATCCACTGACCGATCCAGTAAAAGAAACCCTTCCTTTGTTTCAAAACAACGCTCTCTGTTTATGATTATTTGTAAACTGACCCGCAGTCGCTATAAAATTTACGCAGGTAGGACTGAACCTTATTTATTCCAACAAACTACTGACTTCCGGAGTGGTTGGAGAAGAAACGATAGAAATCAATTACACAACCAGTTTTCTAACTTCTTCGGGTTTTACGCGCGTGATTTCGATGGCTCATAAGCCTAATACCCATGAATCCTTTAATCCCTCATTGGATGATGCGTATTTAATCCTTCGGGTAATTGCTCTCCTAGGTAATTGCCCTCCTCCATATTTGGGTTTTCTTTCACAAGATACGATAACCTCATCACATCCTTCTCAGTGGTATAACAATTTTTTATGTGGGTAATAGTATTTATTGGTAACTTGGCTGAGTATACCAGCAAGCCTAATCAATTCAGTATTCACTTGTGGATAAAATGACGTCAAACATCCTAAGCTCAGTAAAAGTTATTCACATTTCACTTGATCTCATTCGGTAACTGTCAAATACGGAGATCATCCGTGACCAAGGCTCATTCGCCTTTAGTGTATTGATGACGTCATATGCTGTGATTGCTTCAGCTGATGTTTATTCACTGGCAAACACTTTCTTCAAAGTCCTGAGATGTACTGTCTGAGCATTCATGGTTCCGAGCGTTTTCAGACATCCATTATAGATTGTTTATCTATCTATCTATCTATCTATCTATATATGTATAGGCTGAAGTACACAAGCCGAAAAATACCCTATCGTTACCTAAGGACAATTTTATAACCGTTTCCTCGAATTTTTGGTTGCAGTCCATGGTTGAAGTTTGCACCACAGTAAATTGTCTACTCTCGTATGAGATTTGTTTCTTGGCTTGTTCAAGCATGCTTAACTAAAGGTTCAAATATCGAAGAATTTTTCAGCCGTACCTTCAGTTGACATGGTCGCCAAAAACTATTCCTTTGCCTTTTTGTCACACATTCCACTGAGTTCAAAAGTCGAATAGACCCTCCAACCATAATATCTCTTTAGGAGTGTCTGGGATTAAAGCCATAATTTTTTGAGGCAAACTTTCAGTTGATTTGATGAACACATTTACATTTTATATTTACCGATAAATTCCGCCTACTGAGCATATCAATCCAGACTTTAATGCTTCATATCGAAATACTCAGGACGGCTTTGATCGCGTTTTGGAACGGATAAACGTTTTAGACGGGAATATAAGCCACACGCAATATGTTACAAGAAAATTCAACCCCAAGGAAAACATACCTCGTCAGAAGAATTTTAATGAGAGCTCAAAAACCAGTAGATAAAATTGTTTACAGTCATGAACCCAGAAGAGTACTGAAAGTGTGTTTCCCAGAGGAACGGAAATGTTTGAGCGTAGTTACCCCTGATAAGTCACATACCTTCTTAATCTTACGTAATACATCAAGATATTTCATGCCAGTTAAAATATCCAAGTAATGAAGCAAATCAACTGATACGCAAGCAAGACTCATGTCAGTAGCTTTCTATTTCGCTTAGTCTCTAGGAATACCTTAACCGAAATATGCAGTCTAGCGGTGTCCTGACATAGCCAACTTTGGGAAAATTCATAATATCCATGTTGTTTTAATGTTTCGTCCCGCCAAATGGTGTGGTGTTTTCCGTTCGGACATCAAAAGCTATTTAGATAGGGTTTGGTAATTGTTTTGAGATGTCACTGGTATTTTGTCTGATAGAAGAGATTGGAACAAAGAAAGAAAACTGAATATCTTAGATCCCCAAAAGCATAGTGTGAACGAAGAAAGAACCTTATCCCCCTGAATGAAACTACTAACAAGGTTTCAGAAAACTCAGCAACCTCGTGAGTAGTATGCTGCGATATATCGAATATCGCGCGAAATGAAAACGAGGCGGCTAATTGTTTTGAGATGTCACTGGTATTTTGTCTGATAGAAGAGATTGGGACAAAGAAAGAAAATTGAATATCTTAGATCCCCAAAAGCATAGTGTGAATGAAGAAAGAACCTTATCTCCCTGAATGAAACTACTAACAAGGTTTCAGAAAACTCAGCAACCTCGTGAGCAGTATGCTGCGATATATCGAATATCGCGCGAAATGAAACACGAGGCGGCCTGTGGGCAGCACATTCATTTGTAGAATACCACAAACGATAGATTCAGTCGAGTCTCTCGTGAAAACCAAATTGATTCGCAAATAATCGTGTTTCTCGAGAACCTTATTCTCCATCCACTTGTCCTGTCAGGAATTCACAAACAGGGATTTCCATTGTTCTCCATCCTTAATGTATAAGACTTACTACCACGCTTAGCTACTGAACGACTGGCAGGAACTCACTGAAGATTCGTTTAGCATAATCCGTACAGTAGATACAATCCTCGATGGAACTGATGAATGCGGGTCAGATGACGTAGTCATGAATGCATTCGATTCGGCTTTGTTATTCATGAACTTCACGTTTGTGGAAACAATCGGCTGTGTAATTATAACATTGGAAGAATTTTTTTCATTGGTACGTTTTGAATGACTCGAATAAGCAAACAGTGACGCCTGCGGTTGGGTCACCGTATCAAATTGAGAACAATTTTTGCACATATTGTCACAAATAAGTTGGGGTCCGACCAACGTTATGTGGTTTCTGAGAATCTCGTCTCTGATGCCTTTCTGTGAATGAAATAGTTGACAGTGGTGGCTTGGGCACAACTGATGGATGGGTTTTATTCTTAGATTTATAGCTCCGGCGATTACAAGACCCCACGCTTCAGTGGACAGCGTACCACGAGGCCACATTCCATGGTTACTAAGTCAACTTTCGGAGTTTCGCAGGGGAATCTAGGTAATTTGTCGATGGTTTTGTATGCATCCTCTTGTTACCACGAGCTGAAACAGTGTAGCCAAATGCAAAGATGACTGTCCAAAAAAATTTGCGGATGCTGTCGTTTCTCACTGCAAATAGAAACAACACATTACTTTCTATTTTTATATCTCTTGCCGACACTGGTCATCAGGATGATGAGTGAACAGCGTTTTGCAGCAAGGTTCACTACACTAGTCTAAATGGCGGGAATAGACCTTGTTGGTCACTACAATAGAGATGCATCAGAGCGTTCAGGCCCCCCTTCTTCGTTCAACCCCGTTTCTCACTGCAAATAGAAACAACACATTACTTTCTATTTTTATATCTCTTGCCGACACTGGTCATCAGGATGATGAGTGAACAGCGTTTTGCAGCAAGGTTCACTACACTAGTCTAAATGGCGGGAATAGACCTTGTTGGTCACTACAATAGAGATGCATCAGAGCGTTCAGGCCCCCATTCTTCAAGTCGTTCAACCCATAAAATTTGACACAAATAACCGCGGTGATAAGACTAGCAGAATAGAAAGAAATGTGAATAGAGCAAGCTTATTCATTGTAACTCGTCTAATTTCTAAACATATTCGTCTAACAAGGCACGCATGTTTATTTTCTTTTTTTTCGATTCTCGGTTTGTTCATACCCACCCACCTTACTGTAAACATATGCAACGTTTTACAGTGCAAAGGCAAATTATCAAAACTGCAAAGAATCTTTCGTTTTCTCACCTGTCCGAGTTCTGGTATCTCACAGAATTCTTTAGTGTGTATTTGTAAAACTACAGGCACACATTGATTGATGGAATGCATCGAAAGTGAACAACTAAATGCCGAGAAACAAACGAAGCAACAACGAAGTTGTAGACAACATCAAAATTTTGAATATAGACGAACAGGTTTTGCGGAATCCCGGATTTAGATTGCGAACACGATAACGTAGAATTGTTACACACATGGTGATGTTCAGTTTTCTTTGGTTAGCCAATCAAAATTATTGCACGGAAAATAATGTTAACTGTTCTTCAAACAAAACACTAAGTCGGTGGTGATTTCCGTGTAATTATAATGTGACTTCGTTCTCAATCAACCGAATATGAAAGAGCGGGGGAGCAGATGTTTGAAAAACGCGTTGTGTTCTAGCGCCGGCGGCCTTTTTTATGCATTGTGCGTCTATGATATGGTGAATTGTTCCGGAACACAGGTGCTGCAATAGAAGATTTGAGAATGCGTGATCTCATTGTTGAATTCAAGGTCAACAAACGTTCATCTCTCACAATTATGGTGGCCTGAAGATCACTGCATGTGACTTATCAAGGTGCTTGATGTTAATATAGATATCTTGACGGATAACCCAAAAGTAATAATTAGACACAATAAGTTGACAAACACAAACGGGAAGCATCCATGCTCCTACAATATATTTCATAGATTAGCTTCCACAACGCACTTGGGGTATGTCACAAACCACAGCGCTATTTGCAAAGAAGAATACTATCGCTTGGTTTATTGTAATATTACTTTTACCCGGTAGGGCAGTGTGAGGGCCCCAGGCAGATGCCAAATATGGAGTACGACTTAGTCGTGGTGACAGAAGAGGCTTTTCAATCATGATCGACTAAAGGTTTCAATTTAAGTGGAATGGATATTTTTATCGATCAACTATACTCTGCCCTAGTTAGCGACCCGCTTAGAGGCCTAGAGAGTCTACAGTATCTTGTTTTTTATCTGGACGGTCGATATAGAATGTGAGTACGAACATCAATATCCTCTGGTTCCGCCGAACCACATTCCCAGTTTTGACGCTAAGTAGTACAATTCTTGCCTAATTTTAGAATCTGTTTTAACGAAAGACCTCACCTTTATGCAAAAAGTATCAATTTTCATTGTCAGGTTTTAAATTAGGTAGGCATATGTGATGTGTAGCCATTCAGCGAGTTTTTGGGTGTAGTTCGTCGATTCCTTTTCGTCTGCTTCTCATATTGAACTACTACTCGGCTTCAAGTAGTGTGCATTTACAAGTTTTACTGTGCAAGATAGACGACCCCTTCGAGCTGCAAGAGGACATCACCATGTGACTAACGGTAGAAGACACTCGAGAATGCCTGTGAGATATATGCTACTTGTGCATGGTCTCTTCAAGTTTATAGTATACTGAATTGTTATCAATGTGGAATGTGTTATTCAAATTCAAGATGGACAATCAGTTGCCTATGTTAGGGGTTGTGTAGAATTTCATCCCTTGCTATGAACAACTTAAAGGGCCTTTGATCTCTGCTGTAAGTAGTGATTCGAAATCCTCGCACATTCAGCCACATCCGGAATGTTCTCTTCCATGAGGAAACTGGGGAAAGCATTTCAGCAGTCTTTATGAAACATAGGATCAACATTTTCCGGAATCACCTAAAGAATTGTGGTGCACATATGAGCGCAGTCTGAAAGTTTTAGTAACAGGCAGTAGGGATCAATATTATTTTCGCTAAAACGTACTGCTTCGCTGCATTACTAGGTTTAGTTTGACAAGATGTATGGTACTTACAACGTTGCTCGTTCAAATGGAATGAAAATGAATCATAACCTCATCAACCGATATTAGATTTGGAACATGATATACTATCAAGAAAAAAAAACCAGTGTTAAGTGATTTGGTGTGGATAGTGGCATCACATATGCGGCCACCAAGATAATAATCCCTTCGCAATAAATCTAACCTTTTGTGAACTTTCATCGTAGTTTATTACCATCTTACAACAAATAACCAGGTCCGTTTCACATACCGGCGAACTAATCACACTGATGAACAACAGTCGGATACAATACAAATGTCATATTACCTTATATTATTTATTCGAGATAATCACATGGTTTAGCAAAAATCACCAAGCCTTCTAAGCATGTGTATGAGCAAGTGTGCCAGTTAGAAGTACATTTCTGTGCAGCTCCCAAATTATTAATTTGACACTTTCAAAAACGCTACTCACGCTTGACATTCATTCTCAGTCGCAAAACTGTTCATTCCGCCACCACACACGCCATGCAAAAACTGCAGACATTGCTTTTTGCGTTGGTCGAAATACCACCACGCAACTGTTTCGGATGGACCGCATTGCGAAGTTGGGTAAGGTGGGGTGCTGCAGGGGTTGTGTGCTCGCTTATAACGAGCGCTCCACCGAGATCTACTTTGCTGCTTTTCAAATTTACACAATCCCTCGCAGCTTGTCAGATCCGGAAACTGGTTTCGGGTATATGCAATAGCGTGGTCACTGACTAGTGCCCGTATGTGACAGTGTGGCGAGTAGTCAAATGTCTTACATTCCTTCTGTGAAGGGTGATAATAATATCTGTCGCGTGAAAATAAAAAAATGAATACCAATAACATAGAAGGCAATCGTAAACTTAGTGTTCCATTTAAATGGTTTGCATATTAATGTCTAATCAGAATGGATACAGTAGAATGTTCGGCCCTGAAAATCAAAAATAATTGACAAGAAGTTCCGAGTTCTAAGTTGCTTGTTTAATTGTCTCCCTAACGTCATTCATTGCTAGATTAGGACCAATCCAGAATGACCTGTATACAGGACATGTTCACAACAGTTCACCTGACCTCTGATTTGAGAGCGAAATCGGGATCTTGTTCAAATGAGCAGAAAATGGTGTATTCATATCGTGCTCGTTCGGACAAAACCACTGGTTTATTCTAGTGGGTTTGCATCAAAGAATAGTAGAACTGGAATTGGGTTCTGCCCCTGTCAGAGCTAATTACAAGAGCATTTCTTTAACCAGAATGGATCCAACCCCCTGATACCTGAAGTCAAAGGTGACTATGCTACTGTCCAACAAGACACGCTGGTTCCGCCAAAATCCAAACGGAAAAATTGTTCCCGATTGAGAAGAACCGCTTCAGCAGGCGCGAACCACAATCGAGGTCTTGTTTTAGTTATGTAGGTTGAGTGGATCCTCTATCGATCCTCCTAGAACAATTGCTTGAAATTTGCTGGACAATTTTGATTGGTTACAGGTGGGTGCTGGAAGTTGAGAAATTCACACACACACACACACACACATACACATACACATACACATACACATCTCTTAAAGGCTCCCATCCCGCCCTGGCGAAAGCATTCTGCTTGTTCCGCATTAAGAGATGGCACTGAAATTGATCTCTATACTTAATGAAGCTCATTAGCAGTACACATCGTTTGCTTATTCTGCGTTGCTTATTTTCCACAGAAGCCTGGTGTAGCCTTGGTAGAGGAGTATGATGAAACAAACCTATAGTTTTGGGGATAATCCCTTGCCAAATTCATAACGATACTTCCATTTTTTAACCTTTCGTTAGCCAGCTCTCTGTGCATAAGCTGTTCTTTCCAGGTCAATGAAAGTAATACACTGATCTGAATACCAGTTTGGTTTTATAGGGCGACTCATCTTGAACTCAGCTAAGTCTCTTGTTTTTTTCATAAGTAACAGTTATTTTCAGTGACAACTGTCTTTATCAATCAATCGAGATTCTATGGAATTAACCATTTACTTAGATATCCAAGATTAACCTAGTCTGAACAGAAAATAGAGCAAGAAATAGATTGTGACACACCTGACAGTTGTATTTTCCGGTCGGAGGCACAACCGATTGGCAGACGGTGGTTCTTCGTAGCAGGCTTTTCTTAGCAAATCGGGGTCACATCGCAGATTAGTTGGGGGCCAACACGTATCCAGTTCATTCACCAATGGATAAGATTCACAGGCCTCTTTTGTGGCGAGATCGGGGAATTCCCGCCATCGATAGATCAACCCAGGTTTTGTACATGTGGCATTTATACAAGCCGACCAGCTCCCCCAAGGAAGACTTTGGCAGGCTTCAGCTGAGATCTTCTCCATCGTGTTCGTTGCGGAAGGGACAAAAGGTTCGCAGTTTTCCTTAACCGTGGGTGAACTGCATGCTTTCTCCTCCTGAATGTTGGGGCATGTACACCGCAATGTATCTACCGTGAAGTACAATTAATTTGTTCAACACGTAAATTGCCCCCTGCAGAAGAGCTCCAACTCAGCGTCGGCTCTGATAGCTCTCTCTCTCTCTCTTAAGGCCCACAATCTATGTAACATGTTCTCCACAAAAATTATAATCTCACTCATTCTGTCAACAATCTCGCATCTTAGAATGCATACATGAAATCCGGACATTTGTCTGAACTAATACTTTTAAAAAAGGGAGATAGGCTCTAAGTCGCATAACGTGACCACATGTTCATTTTTCGTCCTACCATATATGGAATTCTCGTTAGTTTCATAATGGTGAATATACTATCGGCCTGTTCGGACTACGGACGTTCACGGAACCGCATCAATTTGTGCATAATCGAGATTGTGTTTGCCGATGTACTGAGAGTATACAAAACAAATTCCAGCAAGATCTGTCTTTTTCCGTTGAACACAAACTTTTCGGGCAACCAGCTTAGGTGTCTCACCCGTGCCTCATAGTCTAACTACGCACTCGTGCATATTTTTCAAACATTTCCAGAACACAAACATGTCCTTCACACTTGGGAGTGAGAACGTCACTTAGTCATGACACTGGATAGTTTAGCAAGATTCCAGTGAAATGGTTGTTATCAAAATAGCGTAAAGCATGAAAAGAAATCACTCATTGAGTTCGCTCATTTGCAAATCAATTTGCCCTCCACGGGAGACCCCTTGAGTTGTTCGAATGGTAATTATCTGGGATCATTGCATGCCACGCGGTGGAGCCACGTGTGAAACAAATAATCATCACTCTCTCAGAAATTTACCTTTTATCTTTGGTTACTGTGCGGCGGGTTGAGTAGTGTGTTGCCTAACAAAATGACAACAAAATATACTAAGGAAGCAGGTCACGGATAAATACACGATACACACTAGGCTGCATGGACAGCTGGATATCACATTGTGTCATCTAGATAACTGTAAGAGGAAGTTCCCTTCAGAGGGATTCTATTTAAGGACAAAACCCGAATTTCTTATCACAACTCTCCACTAGAAAACCGTCAACTCATGATGAAGTTCACAGGGAGACGAAACGCTATAAATACGAATAGCTGCAGCACATGAAACCCACTTTCACTTGCTTGAACGTACTCCAGTTTTTAAATGTATTCGCAGTGGATTTTGAGCGTGGATTTCAATTTGTTTCCCAAGTGACTGACAAGGAACGACCACATGAGCGGATAAATCATGCTCAGACGAATTCAGTCCTTGTTGGTATGAATAGATCTGTCTGAGTCATTTACCATTTATTCACCTTCTTGACTTTTATTCTTCCTCCAAAAGCACTTGAAAGGAACATTGGCAGGTAGATACGGTGCAAGTTGATGCAGTGATACGTGTCCAGCTTACATTTGATAAGCTAGCGTGCATGACTTTTCCCATTCTCCGAAAGGTTTGGCACGTGTGATCTCAAAAAGCACGTTTATTTACGGATTTCCTATATGGCTTTGTTCTCACGCAAAAACGTAGCGCCAAAAGAGCGTCATCTGTATTTTGACCTCCTTGCTGCATGCCACCTCCCCATTCCACGCCACCGAATCTTGTATTAGGGAAGAGCATCCATCGGAAATTGTTGCTTTCCAAGCCGAAGCACTCTAGTTTCTAGTGGCATTCACAACATGTAAAATCGACTTTTGTCATCAATCAATGGTCTCTAAGAGGAGCAATAGTAGTTTGGTCATTGCAACCTTGTTTCCTTAAAATCAGTCCCAAAAAAAGCCATCGAATACGGCTATTCCTTGTAGTCAGTATTCATTACAGCTCAGCACAGACCAAGGTCCTGTTGTCACCATTTGGATTAGCGGTGTTCCTGTTAAATAACATTAGTCTGTTAGAACAGTGTTGATAATCATAACGTTCTACGTAGAATGTATTTTTTGCAAGTCGCTTTAGGTGTACATGCCACCTCGTGCAAGATTTTCTACCTGAAGGAGAGCGTGGTGCAGAGGTTGAATGAACGTATTCCGTCACGTGAGAGCTTCCCCCTAAAAAGGGAATTATTGTTTTCTAGGAAGCAATCAACAATCATCATCTTGCGAAAGCTGTACATCAGTTCGTTCGGTTTAGATATATTGGAAATTGCCTAGAATGGAGTCCAAAATGCTTCGGCCGAATGACCGTGGTTTGAACGTCTATAAAAGTAGAAGTTGCAAGTCTCATATTGTTGGTTTATTCGCTAAGCTTAGAACCTGGGAGGAAAAATATCGGCATCTCCACTCAGGGTGACTAATTCAATGTTCTGCAGTTGGTCGGAGGATATCCGATAGCCATACCATGTCTAGTTGGCCGAATTTGTTTTTGCTGCTATTTAATAGTTCAGTGCCAATTAGCAATCACTCTCGTCGTAGGACTTGTGGTACTTAGCTTGTTATCCTTTTTGGCCGATTTCAAGGTTGGGACAGCTTTCCATTGATTTCCGTTAGTTAGAGGAGACAATAATCACCTAAGCGCATCATCCCGACTTTTTGAGTAAGTCAGGACATGAACTTTGCAATTGACTCGCAGCCTCTCTGATAGCCGTCTGAAAAGTATCACACACTCAACATCCGCGATATAATGAATAGTGAATAGCAGAATGATCGCCCTGAATTCCTGGGAACTCTATTTTTGCTTAACTAGTGAATTTTGAATTGCATTTTACGTTTTTTGGTCTTTGCAGTGCAGCAGGGCAGCACACAAAGAATACTCAGTTGGGCTTCACGCGAATAGTCGTAATACATCTGCTTTGCTCCAATAAAATTCGCACCATTTGAAAAGACGAAATTAATTCCGCTCTATGAATTTTGTTGTTTTGAGGTTAAAGGCTATTTGTTTCTTCCTCTTGTGTTCTCTTAATAAACTGCACTGCATAATAATCGCACCAGTACTAAATTAAACCATAATTAATAAACAATAATCAGTGATAAATACGCGGGGTTCAGACAATCAATATTTGGTCTAATTACCAAAAAAATATTACTAACTTCATTCCTACCAACAGGTGTAAGAAGTAGTGTGAGGAATGGCGGAGGCTGCATGAGACATTTACATTAATCGTTTCAGTGTATCTACAAGCAACGGGAAATGACAAACTTTTGTCTGCGTTCTCTGCCTGAGGCAAGATCATCCATATGAGGCTGAAAGGCTACGCAAATCAGACAGTTTTAACCAGCCAATCTTACAAGTCCCAACCATCTTCTAACGAAACAATCTTAAATGTAGTCCACTAATAACATTTCTTCCACTGGTGACACAACGCCTAAATCACAATGGACAAGCACAGCTGCTTCACTAACTTCACACTAATCTCTCCAGCATTGTGAGCAAGAATTCTTCAGCTTGAAGTTATGGTGTGGTACACTCTGAAATTTCGGGAAATCCATTGTTTGCTTGGCCTGAAAAATAGGTAATGCATGTGCAACCGCACAAACAACTGACGTAGTCTTCAGGATTCCAGTTTGTGTATCACATAAATGAACACCTGACCATATGTATACGCCCGACGTTTACGCCCTAGTTCTTCCATCGGATTCAGCCCCTGTTTTCCGCCAAGGCTTGCCTTTCTCAAAAGGGTCCTTTGATTGGTACTGTTTTTATTGACTGAAGTCGGCTGACCACCTGTGCAATCTTTGGTAGGAGACGGTTTTTATTTTGTCTAATTTTTGTGCTTGAGGCTAGTTATAGGTTTCCATTAAACTGGTTCCAGATATTGCGTCTTGAATGGCAAGTAAAAGCATTAAAAATTTGAAACGCTCCTCGCAGGCTTGGTGGCCATGAAGATTTTTCCAGGCTCGGTAATATGTTCATTACAATTAGTCATTTTACGAAACGTTTTCACTAACCTTTAGTGGAACGTCACTACAGTCGGCCACAGTAACAGGTGGCAGTGGAAGTCTTGTCCGCTGCATTCTTGGTTGTTTTGCCGACCAGTAGGCTTTTGATGCAGCCGTTTTGCACGTGGTAACGTCCACAATTGAGCAGGGCCCCCAAGGAGACCAGCTACCAAGTTGACATTTTGATGCTTTGTAACCAGACTCTGGTTGTGTCATGGAGATTGGCGTCGAGTGAAATGCTCTTGTAAACCCCTGATCATCTTGCGCCGGTTCAGGTGTGCACACCTCGTGCTGAAACGTAACAAAAATGCTATTGTCCTTGGTTGCAGAAATCATCTGCCATACATCCTCTCCACAGTCTCCATAAAAAACTTTCTTTAGCAGACGGCATTCACCATTACGTTATTCCTTATTAGAGAGTTTGACCATAACCTTACCGAAAATGTATTACCTTGTACGGAAAGATTTCCACGTACTGCAGCTGGTAATAAGTTAAAAGTGGCCTCAAATTCATCCAAGTGCAATCTGTCGACAATTAGTTATAAACCTGTTTCTTCGGATACGATATCTGAACTTTATTATGCAGTGATCCAACTGCCTGTGTGTTATTCATCGAAATAAAGGAAGAAACGGAAGTAGGAAGGGTGCCTTGTTGGTGTTGCAACCCAAAAACTAGCCTTTAATACACACTTATTAGGTCTTCTCTTGGGTGCTAGCCTGTCTTCCAACGTGCGTTTTTTCCAGATTTGCCCCGTGCATGTATCTTTATTTAACCGGAAACATCCAATAATCTTACTTTTCCTTTGGCTTGTAGGATTAAAATTGGACATTTCTTCTTCAAGCAAGTGGAACGAAATCAGAGTAATCTCTTGTGCGTGGTGCTAAGCGCTCATCGTCCCTTCGGAAAGTCCAGCATGTGTAACTTGATTTTCCGACCAAAGCCCGGAAAAAAGCTCAATAATTCTTCAAAGTGTTGCGCTGCTTCCTTGCTGCGAGTATTTATACATATTTTAAATGATGGTGGAGTAACCGGTTTTTTAAACCACTAGAACGACCAATGAATAACATGACCAACACCACATTTACTGCAACCTCACACAAATTCTTTTAACGATTAGGAAGTTTCCTCACTTTGTTTGAATTACTTCGGCGATTGAAAACGTTTTCCACGAATGCAACAGTTGCAAAATAACAGCGTGCACTTTTTACAGAGAAACTTTAACCAAAATAATCTAAAGTCGACGAAGCATTTTTTTCCGCCCACAGTTTAATTTGCGAACATATAAGTTGTGTTATCAGTAAAAGCCGGAGCTCTGAACCACTTCCTTCGCGGGGTAAACTGGACGTCACTCTATATAATCCAAGAGTTTTGCGACTCCAAATGCGACACTGAAATGATTGACTAATTTAGACAAAATCCAGTTGGTATTCCCGCGGTAATTCTAGCCAGTACACAGGAGATACTCATGAAAACAGGAGTGGGAATTACGGCAAGTGCCAAAAAATGAATGCTGAAATAATTACTCACCGTTGCTTTCAGCTATGTTTCTGAGAATAATATTAAACAATAAACGACACTAATGTTCAGTAGTGGTATTTGCTGACAGTTGATAGTACTTGATGATAGCTTTTAGTACCATTTACTGGTCCGGAACTCTGTAGGATGGTTTGCCCTAAGCTAGAGAATTTTGGGGGACAAGTGCAGATCAGAATGTAGGTTGATGGCAGCATTATCAGATTGCAAATTTCATTCATCATAATAAACCGGAAACGCCTCTCAAGCATTTTCTGACAGAGCGAGAGTGAATTATGTGTTGTTGCTCACGTATCAACAGATCAGCTTTCATTTTCCCTAATATCTGATTTTAGAAATCTGGTTAAAACGCAACAGCTTAGGAATGAACGCTTCGGCACGAGCAAGCTAGTTTTTTTGAAGGCCTGTTTGCATTTTTTGGTTCAACATGTACCCGGAGTGAAGAACGTTAGTCTATTCGGAATTACTTCATCCAGTGTTTGAACTGAAGCAAATATAGAGTTAAGTGGCTAAGATTGTTTGGCAAATTGAAAAAACTGGTTGACGTTTGGATGTGGAGAAGTCTAAAAAACGACACCAGCAAAGAGATCTATACCGATTCAGCGTTTGTAAAAAGTACTTGGTTCCGTTTTGCTAACAATTTCTCAGTAATCTGTTGATCAGAGACCAAAAAGGGAAAATGTAGGAAGCGGTATCACGTTTCAATATCAGAAGCGATCCAACATAAACGCATTTTCCTCTTCTTCCATAAAATTACCATAGCTGTTGCCGAATGACAGGATGATGTGATCGAACAGCGCAGAATCTTGTGTGCCTTGCGTGTTTAACAAATTTGTAAAGCACGAGAACTCACCTCATTAATTCGCAGTAGTTCCAGAGTCACTGTTCCTAGAGGGGCAAATTGTCTACGCAATCGAGTTGGAGCTGAACCATGCATTAGTCGCATTTGGTCCTGCAGCTGGGATGACAACATGGGGTCAGCAAAAGGATTCTGACCGGCTATAAGCGTACCAGGATCGTCCATGCTCAAATCGCCAAAAACCCGTGCTGAGCTGTCCATTGGGTTGGGAATACCGGGTGGTGACACGTAGTCCGTAACGACGGTGAAAGGGGTATTTGCCCTCAGGTCTGGAGTAATTGGACACATTGGCTTTGGTTGTCGAAGTCGCTCCGATGGTTCTACTGGGACATATGTGTTCCCGGACATGACGCCAGCATCCCATGGCTCCAAACGAAATCGCATTTGTAAAGGCCAGGAGCAGTTGGCCAAACATATATCCACCCGAGATAAACCAGTGCACCAGTCAGGACTTGGCACAAGTCGGGTGAGAAAAGAGATCAAGTGGTGTGTGCTGTTGACAGCAAACAGAGCCGACCGGATACTGTTGGAGGGATAGCAAACGTGCACTTCAAAAATGATGTTAAACTGTATTGAACTGCTGATTATGAAGGTTATTGCAGTACAAGCTGCTTCAGCATTTAAAATGCCGTCAAACCACATATCAAAACCCGTGATTTCACATTGGATTCCCAAGCGATATAAACAAAAGTTTATCTACCTGAAGCATTATTTCCCTCCCAATTTTTTGACGAAAAAGTCACGGTTTCTTCCGCTGCTTGTCGTATTTCTTTGGAAAGAATTTGCAAGACGATATGCGTGGTAGGATCATGACAATATTAGGCATAGATTTTTCACGATAGTTGCATGATAAAAGTGGACAATATCAATATCCAGACAACAGCTGTCAAGAACAAGTTCATCGACAGCGAAGTAATTCTCCCTTACTGCTTGGAGGAAACGCCTAGGACGGTTCACCCATAAAAGGCCTTATATTGATTCATATGCAACTTCTTTCAATTATCAAGATGTGTCTTATTAACTAGTAAATAATAACATCCACAAAACTCCGGCTAGATCTATGGCGATTTTGAATTAAAAGCTAAAAGTGGATCGACAAAAGCTCCCATTGCCTGGAACGCATAATTTCCTCGGCTAATGACTTTTAACTTAGGGCGGTTTTCAACAGAACGCTAAAACAGACGTTATCAGCCACGGATGTGATAAATATAGCCAATGATAAGCACTAGCCTATTTGGGTAACCTCTTCATAAGGAAAGGGAACTACGAGGTATTTGGAAACGCGTGTGTCGTGCACCAAATGTACGTCCATTCTTGGATACATCACAGTGAGTATAATAGAAGTTTAGCGATACCCTTCTTCGTAGGGTACTTACTAATATTCAGATCGTAAATAGCAGATAAGAAACCGCCTTTCCAACATCCAAATACGTTCCATCATATCTACTCCAAAGAGTGGTGTTTTACGAAACGAGGCAATGGAATTTGATGACATCCAATAAACAAGGAGAACGTAGCATTAGGAGTTTTCATTAAAAAATTTTCACTGCTTTACTGCACTTCAAATGAACGATCTTTACTATTGATGCAAAGTTAAATTAACATTTGCCTACGAGTCCATGAAAAAAATATGCACTTTGGCGGTCAGCATGCAAAAACGGGCGAATGAATGCTTCAGTCAAACTACGTTGTGTTCTTGTGGACCCAGTTGAATGTACCACCTAGTCACAAGCCAAGAGTCATGGGGCCTTATGTTTTATGTATAAATTGCTGCACCGAATGTCAAAAAATGTGCATAATGAACAAATGCAAATTATGATTTAGTCCAAGTTGATGTATGGGTAGATACAAGACAAACGAACGCACATTCTATGAAAAAAAGGCAAATCGGTGTAAACGTACAATAAGCAGAGCAATTGAAAACTATGCAAAGATTGGTCCAGAAGCTCAGCAAGCAAGATTTCCCAGACAATTACAGGTAAATATTGCTTCCACGATAGCAGGACAAATAAAATAGCGATTATTTCTGGTATTCTGATAATTTGAATGGTTCAAAAAAGAAACGTGTCTATTTCAGCTAGTGTCGCATGTATTTCCACAGACTGTTTGCTTTCCTTGTTGTGCATAATCATGTCACTTGACTGAAAGGGCCACATTTCTGCAGCACATGAAGGACACAGAATTTAATTACGTCCCAAAAGCCCTCAAGGTTTGATTGATAGTCTTTTTCTAACTTGCTTACCGTTGTTCCGGGGGAGCTGAAGAATCGATGCCACGTGTCCGAATAACTGTCATGATATTTTCCCCCGCCTGGTTTTTGAATTCATTTTCCAACTTTGAGACATCACTGGTTGTGCACAATGCGTCCACGGCAGGGCTGGCATATCCACCGACGTGAAACAAGTCGTACAAAGGACTATGTGACACACCTGTTGAATAGGATATCAACATCGATTAATTTATTAATTATTATTAATTATTCTAAGTTGCTATTTCAGTTTTAACTTTTTCCCATATTCCAATTGTACTTCACTGACCCAAATATAGATCAAACCATCATAAATGCGTGTAATTCAGAATTGCAGTCAAGTTGAAATTGTGCAGAACGTAAACCAGCATGATTGCCGTCCGTTTGCAATTTTGACCCAGCGGTGAAAGAAGCTGGGCTTCTACAAGTAAGCAAGTAAAACCAAAAAAACGCTGTTTTGATCAGGCTAGGTTGTTAAAACTAGTTGATTAAGAATAACAGCAGGAAGGAAAGAAGCTCAACGCGGCGCAAATAAAACAGCAGCTGGATTTTAATGTCTAAACCAAACCAAGCTGATCTCGATATAATTGCAAAGTTGGAAATCAGCATTTTATGCCGAGATCTGGAATTTTCTTTTCCGGTGGTCAGTTCGAGAAAGTGTAATCCAAGATCTGTTCGTTGGGGGAACTGCTTCCGGTCGATCATTACAAAGGCAAACCTCAGGAAAAGGTGATAACAAGATTGAGATCCTGAAAAATTTTCATCGCAATCATCTGAATTTCAGGTAAGTTCAAAATGTACAGTCCCTCAGGGCATTTTGTTGACTCTACATTCAGACAATGTAATTTAACTTTCTATTTATGTTCAAATGGATGATCTTCCGTTAGCCGTATTTTCTAATTAGCAGTGTAAAGGTAATACTTGTATTTGTTGCTACCTAGGAACACCATGTTTTGGGAGACCGTCTTGTACACAGCTTGTCTGTTACAGTGACTGAACGCGAAGTATTCATCGACAGTTTTTGTTCACACTTCTGACCAAATGTACCCTAAAAGTTTGCTCTGCTTACTCCTAGCCTTTCGTGATTGTCTGAAATTGTGATGACGTTATTCAAAATATGTGCGCCCGGTACTTTGTACTGGTACTTTTGTGCTCACAATCTAATAGATTTAAAACCCCCATTAAGCCGCAAAAGCAAATCGTTTACTATTGTGCATTACAGTAGTCCACTTAACGTGCCCGTTTGTAAAATTGAGCCGGAGTTTTTCGGAAGAAATCGGCAATGAAAGACACTGGGCTGAAGGAGCCCGTTGTGAGAGTTAAACCAGGTCTTCCCAGGGTAGCTTGTTGTGAGATCCTTGTAAATAGACCACAGCTAATCTTGCCAGTGTAAGCCTGGCTGCATTGAGCGTAAGGCTAAAGTATTTATAAGTATGCTAACAAAGTTGATATGAAAATTCTACGTAGCCCAAATCATTTAGGTGGCGTCCTTCTGAAAGACTCAGGTAACTAGCGGAATTCAGGGAGACTGGTTATGAAAAACAGTATCAATGATGCTGATTTCCGGAAACCCGGGAACCTGTGAGCTACTGTGAATAACAACCAGACCAACCGGGGAGAGAGATAAACGGCACATTCATTCAAATCAGTGGGATTCAGGACGCACTAGTTTGTATTAAGCTACAGCAGCACCAGTTGTTTTTCGGTTTAATAGACCTACGAAGCTTTATGAGACAAACCTATGGTGAAACAAACCAAAGACCTTCAGTTTAATAACCCCGACATCAACTCCCTTACAAAATCTGTTGCAATAGGCTAAGTAAATAAAACCTCACATTTCACGAAAATTTTCGTTTTATAGGACACTTTCGATGTGCTGATTTTTGGCTCCGTTTATTACGATTACAGCAGGCTGTTTTTTACCCTGAAAAATTCGTACTATGGTTGAGCCTCATCTGACCGCGTGACCAGCCAGTTTAATCACTTTCGCATGCAGGCGATACATTGAGTGAGCGAGTCCGGCCACGTCTACCGTGATAATAACAATTGCATTTGTGTACGCATCACGGAGCAGACGACGAGTAAACTAACGATGCAGAAGCATATGGGCGACGTAGGTTTCCGGACTGATGAGTAAAAGCAGTTGCTAGATTCTCCCTATTATTCGAGGACTTTTAGTCAGATTGATTGTTCGAATAGATTGAAAACACTTGTGACTAACAGAGCTTATGAAACGGCCCGTCGTTAAACAAAAAACACACCAACTCTCAGGAAACGATTGTTGTCGCGCGCGGATGACCGCCAACGAGCAGTAAACCCATTTTACTGTAATATGCGTCCAAACATAAAGAACAAACAGGCTATTCTACACTTGAAGCATGCCTTCTTGAAAATTAAAAAAACCGTGACTTCCAGATGGTTTAACCATTAAACCTGAATAAAATCCAACGGGATGGTGAAAACTCAGGTGTATTTTGTCGTGGATTTAGAAAGTGGGAGCTGCGAAGGCAGGTGTCAGTTTATTCAAATAATGATTCTCTGATAGTATATATTTACGCCGCAAGACAGAAAAGCTCAGTATTTCTATTTTTCATACTTCCACAATAGTTGAGCAGTTTGAAGCATAAAAGTGTCGATACCATTTGAAAACCAAATATTTTTACATTGTATTCGAAAGAGTAGGGAAAAGACCTATTACAGTTGATTTATAAGTCAAAATCCTGTCAGGTCTACCGCACACGGAAATAAGTTAGTTCTTAATCAAAGATTTTTAAAATGAACCTTCTGTTATGATGAAAAAATTGATTCTTTTGGGAAATAATTACATCCAATAAAACAGTGGTCATAAAGAATAAAATGTATTAAAACAGTTTCAAATGGTCAAATCTGTCATCTGTTGTTTCATCGAGAGATGTACACCTAAATGGACCCCGTCAGGCTGGGGTTGGCTTACTTGTTATACGTACGTTTTTACAAAAACGGATGTGGCAATACCTTACTGCTTTACTGGTTAGAACACATCAAACAGTAACGAGCAAGAACTCGAGTTTGGTCAAGTGAAGTTATTTGACTGTGAAGTCAAAGGGAGGTGAAGATAATTATATCTTGTAAGATATAACAACTGATCAGCAAGCGGTTCATCATGTTCTACAAGGCTACGTCAGACATATCTGTTTGAGGTTTTGTGGCACCATTTTCAGTTAATAATCGCAAGCCAGGTAATGATTTTATTGCCAGTCTTACAGTTATCTCATTGCAGGCAAGCTACCGCGCCGTAGGCGACTTATATGGAGGACACAGTGCGATTGTTTGTCCACAGCTTGTTAAAAACATTGAGTCGGATATGAAAATAAAATAAGGCAAAAAACAGCAACTACTCTTTTATCCAAAAGTATAATTTGGGCCACAAAGTTTCGTATACCCTTTGTGTGCTGAGATTTATAAGATATAGTTCCTTGAAAGATCTTGAAAACGCGTGTGGTTTGAAACGCAGAAAACCGAAATACGATTAGAAAACGTATTGATTTATCTCATGCTTGTAAGTCTTCACTGTTACATAAAAGTAGCGTATCTCCTTTTGAAAGATGTGAAATGGACTTTTTTGACTCTCAGTTTGTGTTTTATGTAGAGAAAAGGAGGATAGTCCAATAACGTTTCCCAACCCATATCATAAGAATATGTTTGGTAGTTTGCATTTTTCTCTCGGAAGTCGCGATGTGCAAAATCTACGAATATAAACACTGAGACATTCAGTGGATGGCCTTCAATGACAAATCTTGAGTATCCAGCCTCTGCCGGCGGACTTCGATCCATATTACCATATATAACCAACTAAATGATGATTACTTAGAATCAGTAGGCGAATTACAGAGGTAAGTAACTGAGATATTTCTCCTGTACATATCACCCTGAGGTTACTGCGGGTTATATAAAAGGTAAACATTGAGAAATGCCTTTGCACAGGTTAATAAGAACAGGGGATACATTCCAACGTTTTAGCAATGAAGACTGTCATACGCTTTTTGTGAGTATTTTACAATGGGAGAACATATTGTGTTATTAATAATAAGTAAACAAATAAGCAGGTAAATAAACGTAAAATTAGTGATACTGATGAAATTGAGGTCACATCAGAGTTCACGTGAGACACGTTTCGGATAACAGGGATAAAAGTACATTTTGCGACGTATAAAAAACAATCGGTATGTGGTGACTGACAGGGTCCAGTGCCCTCAATCAATTGAGCTTGGAATTCAGCTCGGAATAACAACAATTCACAGGTTTTTCTCGCTGCACTTTAGTTAGAAGCATCTAGTGAAAGCTTCCAGCAGGTGTTAAATGTGCTTTCTGCGTTTTCTAAAAAATCGCCTTCCTTGTGGCTATTTATTTCAGCTAAGAAAGCTGACAATTGCACATGTGATTGTGAGAATCGACTCGGTCTTTGTTGCTAATAAATCACGCTCGAATGTTTCTTAGAGATTTCCTTTTAAGCGAGGGTCATATATCATGCAAACCGGAGAGCTGAGTTAGGCTAATGCGCGGGGAGGGTGAGTTTGCACTGCGTGATAAAAAATTGCGTTCATTTTGGGATAACCTAGGACGTACATGTAATCCTGTTCTGATGACATTAGTCGCTTTGATGTTGAGATAGAGCAGAACTATTGAGGTTTTAATAATTTTTAATAATAATGATAATTTCTGTGGAAAAATAATAAAAAACAGTCCAATGTGTAAATAGAACTTTTTTTCAAAATCTACTTCTCTATGTCCGTGTTCAAATGAACTGATAAAAAGTTACATCTACATTGTTTCCTGTACTGAAACTCTATGCTTGTGTTCATCACTGTAACAAAATATCCCTCCCATCCTATTTAGGGCCACGAAAAATGGCTACGAACGCAGAAAGAATGACTTTATGGACTGGATAACAGTGGCATTCGGCAACTGTATTTATCCACTCCGTAGATGCAGTAACTGGTTTCGACCTAAATAAGTCGGTCTACTGAGTGCTGCTTTACGTTGACAAAATTCATTTACCACATGCTAATAAAATTGTGTACAATTCATCGGTCAGCTTCGAATTCGGGAAGAATGCACGTTTTATGTGTTTGTCAACATTGAACCTGCGTTTGCGGAAAAGTTTGGTAAAGGTGAATTAGAACACGGTTCTGTGTGTAGAGC